ATTGCTGTCTTGGTTTAAGGTTGCTACTTATTATAACCCCCAAGGTCTTTTTACAATCTGTATGGCTAAGTTCTACATTATTTAACTTATAAATGCTAGGGTTGTGGACACTCAAGAGCTTCAGAATTGTGCATTTATCTACATTGAACTGCACCTGCCACTTTTCTGACCAGTTATTGAGTTTGTCTAAATCCTCCTGAAGTTTCCTGATATCTACGTTTGAATCAATTACCCTACCTAACTTTGTGTCATCAGGGAATTTGCTCATTACACTAGTAATTCCCTCATCAAAATCATTGATGTATATTATAAACAACACAGGGCCTAAGACTGATCCCTGTGGAAAGCCACTTGTTACGAATCCCCACTCGGATTTAACCCCATTTATGTATACTCTTTGCTTCCTGTTTGTGAGCCATGACTATCCATGACAGCACTTTTTCCCCAATGCCATGAGCTGCCACTTTCTTTAACAATCTTTGGTGCGGTACTCTATTGAAAGCCTTACTAAAATCTAAATAAACAATAACAGCCTCAAAAGCTTTACTGAAGAAAGTTAATAAATTAGTTAGACAAGAACAGCCTCTCGTGAATCCATGCTGAGTATCATTAATCAGATTATGCTTATCCAGATGGCTTCTCATAATCTCAGCTATAATTGCCTCTAGTAATTTGACTACTATTGAGGTTAGGCTTACTGGGCGGTAATTTGAAGGTAACGACCTGTCCCCTGCTTTAAAAATAGGAATTACATTAGCACTCTTCCACATATCAGACACTACACCTGTTTGATGAGATAAATTAAAAATATTAGTTAACGGTTCACAAAGTTCCATTTTGCATTCCTTAAGAACCCTTGAAAAAAGCTCATCAGGACCCGGTGATTTATTTTGTTTCAGATATACCTTTGATATACCTTTGAAGAATTTCGAGAGTATATCTACTCTCTGAGCCCGGCCATGGGCCAGGCTCATCTGGTGCTCGCCTGGTCAACCAGGCTGTTGCTGCTGGAGGCCCACTGCCCCACATATCCATCACAGCCTGGTTGATCTGGCACCTGGTGAAGATACTTGTCTAGTTTCCTCTTGAAGGCTTCAACACTTGTTCCAGCAGTGTTTCTGATATCTTCTGGTAAGATGTTGAAAAGTCTGGGACCCCGATGTTTGAACAGTGTTCCCTTATTGGTCCCCACTGCACCCCTGCTCCTCACTGGGTTTATTTTACACTTCCTCCCATATCTCTCACTCCAGTATGTTGTTATGCAGTGTGCAGATTTGGGCCCAAGCCCCATGTACCTCTCTCTCCTCTCCGCCCCAATGAGTACATGTTCAAGACTTTAAGGCATTCCCAGTAGTTTAGGTGCTTTACTGGCTCAATGTGAGCCGTAAACGATCTCTGTATTTGTTCCAGCTTCGATATTTCTCCTGCCCTGAACGGGGCCGTCAGCACTGAGCAATATTCTAAGTGAGGGAGCACTAGCTATTTGAAGTGTCACCATGGGCATTGTTTCCCTTGTTTTGAAAGTTCTCAATACCCACCCATCATCTTCCGCCTGTCGTGATCTTTGTCTTGTTATGGTCTTTAAAAGAAAGGTCCGCTGACAAAAATTATTCCTAGTCTTTTACGTGTTCCTTACGTTTTATTTGGTGACCCTCTTGAGTTTTGTAAATAGTGCTCCTTTTGAGTACTTCTTTCTTTCCATACCTAAGCAGCTGGAACTTATCACCATTGAACGTCATTTTTCCACTGCCCACTGGAAAACCGTTTATGTCTTCCTGTACTTTTCAGTGTCCAAATACCGTACTGACTTTTATGCTTATTTTAGTGTCCATTTCTTCATAACCATTTCATTAGTGACTGTGATGTTAAAATAATTTATCTTCTTCAGGTCCACTATAAAAATTAATTAAATGGGATACTGTTAATGTGTTCCTGTGTAAAAACCGAGAGAAAATAATTATTTAAAATCAAGCACATTTCATTCTCTTGTCAGTAAAATGCCCCAAATTATTTTTTTAAAGGGGCCCTATCTTATCCCCAACTTTTTTCTATAAACCTGGAAAAAACTTTTTGGGTTAGTTTTCGAATCCCTACAACTTTAATTTCGTACCTCCGTTTAGCTTTTCTTATCCCCTTTTTAACGTCCCTCTTAATGTCAATGTAAACCCATTTATAAGATGACCCTCCCCCTATTATTCATCCATTTTGGGTCATTTCTATTTGATCTAATTTCCTTATATGGGCTAAATGTTCTTTGGGCAGCATGTATTTGTTAAGAAAGCTGTCATACTGAAGCTCTCTTCGTTACCCCCCCAGTCCACAGATGATAAGTGTTCTCTAAGCCCATTGTAACCTGCTAAGCGAAAAATCTGGGACCATTACTGAATTATCCCTACTGCATACTTCCATTCAATGCTAAAGGGAATTGATTTGTGATTGCTTTTGCCAAGTTCCTTGTAATTTCTAAATTATTTAACCTTTCAGGGTCAGCAGGCCCTCTCCTAAACTTGTTCTCAGGTCAGAAATTTTTAGAAAAAAAAAAAAAAATTTCTTATGAAGTGATAGAGAATCTTTTCCCGATCATAATGACACCAAAAGTATGAAATTTGATGGAAAACTTACGGAATTATGCTCTTGTGAAGTTAGAGATCTCGACGATGTTTACGCATTGGCGATTTTGCCCACATTGAGCCCTATTTTCCTTCAATTCCAATGTACCAATCAACAAAAATCATAACTATTTCGCTAGAACTCTATTTTTTCTATCGAATAAGTACAAGAAACCACCCATTTACCGATTTCAACTATACAATAAAGTGGTCCGAAATTGGCAATTTTGCCAATTTCACACAAATTTCAAAAGATGCCAATTTCCAAACAGGGTCCAGAATAAACAAGACACATTCCTGGCACTAATATAACATTTCCTATGTTCATTAGTCATGTCCCCAGGCCTCTGTTACATTTCTTTTGCTTTCCACTTTGAATTTTTATTCTCACAAAAATAGATTTACTGTTATGCAGACTACTGCATTAGTGTAGAAATGGTGTAGAAATGGTATAAATAATATCAGCGCACTTGTGAAAGAATATTAGACTCACCAGTTGACGTGTATCGGACACATGGCATGTTTTGTTTACTTTTGAACTTTGGCAAATATCGAACATTTCTGCTACTTTGAGCTCAATTTCAAGGTACTTTCCATTGTGAAACCAATCAAAATCATCTCAATTTCTGTAATATGTCTTCCATTCTATAAAATGAGACCAGGAAAGCTAGAATACAACCATAAATAGCATACGAAAATACACTGCAAAATCGCTGTTTTAAACCAAAAACACGTTTTTTTTTTCTCATTATGCACTGTGCTGCAGTATTTTTTTTATACTGTGCACACTGGCCACATAGACCCATTCTTTCATATGTAGGCCTACCAGCTTTCTCTCGCTATATTTGAAGGTGCTAGAATTTATGCATACTAGTACGGCACCAACCCTGGTGTGCAAGCCGTACTAGTACGGCACCAACCCTGAAAGGGTTAACAAGGGTTTCCTTATTTGCCAGAACCAAGTCGAGCAGGTTATTTCTCCTTGTAGGCTCTGTCACAAACTGCCTCAAAAAACAATCCTGAACTATAGATGAATGGTTCAGAGAACCGACACGATGTTAATTTAGACACATGTGCAACTCTTGGGTATCTTTATTGAGGAAATGTTTTGCAACACAGTGGCTTCATCAGTCCAAACAAAGGAGAAACTTGAAGAACAGGAGGAGAATGAGGTAATCAGTCCCTCAACCTTGAGTTGATGTGGTCAGTCCATCAATCTTGAATAGAATATGGCATATAAGCGAAGAGTCAGCTTATAAACCATAGGCAGGAGAGGTGCAGCAGTCGTAGGTGTTGTCACATTTGTCCAATGTGGAAGTAGGTCGTGCCCAAGGGTTAGGCAAGTGAAGAATTTCCAAGTATTAAGATCCCAAGAAGTTGCAGTGTCTGACAGGATTGTAGATGAATGGTTCAGAGAACTGACACGATGTTAAGTTAGACACATGTGCAACTCTTGGGTATCTTTATTGAGGAAACGTTTCACCACACCATTTCTACACTAATGCAGTGGTCTGCATAACAGTAAATCTTCTATTTTTTTGTGAGAATAAAATTTCAAAGTGGAAAGCAAAAGAATGTAAGAGGGGTGCGGGGATGTGACTAATGAACAGAGGAAATGTTATTTTAGTGCCAGGAATGTCTTTCTTGTTTATTCTGGACCCTATTTGGAAATTGGCATCTTTTGAAATTTGTGTGAAATTGGCAAAATTGCTAAATTCTGACCACTGTACTGGATAGTTGAAATCAGTAAATGGGTGGTTTCTTGTGCTCATTCGATAGAAAAAATGGAGTTCTAGTGAAATAGTTATGATTTTTGTTGACTAGTACACTGGAATTGGCCGAAAATAGGGCTCAAAGTGGGCAAAATCAATGATGCGTAAACATTGTCGAGACCGATAACTTTGTGAGAGCATAATTCTGTAAGTTTTCCATCAAATTTCATACTTTTGGTGTCATTATGATCAGGAAAAGATTCTCTATCTTTTCATAAGAAAAAATATTTTTTTTTTTAAATTTGGGCGACCCTGAGAACAAGTCTGGGAAAGGGCCTGGGGACCCTGAAAGGGTTAAAAAAAATATTTTTTGTTAATACTTTTGGCTGTCTGAAACGGATTAATTGGGTTTCCATTATTTCTTATGGGGAAAATAGATTTGCCAATCATGAATTTCGCCAGTCGGCAGAGTCTCTGGAATGGATTAATCACGAAACTCAAGGGTCCACTGTAATTTGAAATATCCATATTGGTGGAACGCCATAAAGCAGGGCCCCTACCATATTTGGAACACTAGTGGAGAGGTGTAAATCAACACCATGACAGTTAAAAGGTTAAATTTGCTGTTAACTGATTTTATCTCAGAGTACCTTTTAAATTCTTAGAACTGTCTGCTTACCATGCCACCTTGAAGTTTGGAGAGGTTGAGCGAGTGCACAGGCTGAGTATGACCAGTTGGCCTAGGACCTCCTGAAGCTGGTGAAAAGTGTCTATTGATACTCTTGCTGCTCCCATTACTGGTACTCTGAGTTCGGCTTGCACTTCCACCGCCTTGTTTTTTGTTACTAGCCTGTCTTGCTGTAACAGCCGCTCTGTCAAGAGATATATCATCGTGAATTAAATTTACTTATGTGCTAGAAAAATTTTTTACTCCATACAGATATTTTGTAAAGCAATAATTTGTTTTACTGCTTCAGGGGTACTAAGAACAAAGTCCTAATTATATAAAAAAATAAAAATTCATTCCAACTAATGTCATTATAAGATGATTATGAACCTGAAGTAAGTTTCAGCCATATCACAAATGCTATAAGAAACTAGCACTTGTTTATCTGTGTGAACTTAACCTTAAAAAAGAATCAAAAGTAATGAGAATTTTTGTTTGCACTAACATATGTATAATAACAATGTCACAGTAGATGATCAATTATGTGGCTGCCCCTTTGTTGGTAGGGAGCATCAGATTTTCAGTGCTGGATGATCACAATTTTTGTATGGCCCCATTGTTTTCAATGTTTCTTTTCACATTACGTATTTGTTTAGGTGCAGGATCAAACAAAATTGCTAGATAATGTTAGAGGCAGAATAACCGTATGCCCATTAATCAATGATCTACTATGCAGGTTTCCTTTGATTATGCATGTTCATTTTATACAAATTCACTATAATGCAATGTTCAATTTCTATTCATAATTCTGTATGCATGATACACATTTTCGGTTTGAGATCTGTGCGAATGGCAAAACGTATCAAAGAGTCTTGTTATGAGGAATCGTGTTGATGGCCTGACTGAGCTTAATACAACTGCTCTGGTCTGGGAACACATCAGTTATATAAAGCAAGACACACTTATAATATAACTGAATTTCCTTAAAAAAGTTCAACCATGTTTTCTTGTGCAAAGCAAATTCAGTCTGTTTCAGAATTACACTTGAGTTTTGTTATTAGATTAATTGACCTTGGTGGTCTAGAAAACAATAATGAAGGGGAAAGGAAAGGAGTTACATATTTTGCCAGAAAGGTTGCATCACCTAATGGTGCACCATATTATTCCATTCTACATTGTACTTTCAGTTATAAGTTTTTTTAATTTCTTCATTCATCATTTTTTCTAGGTAGTAGGTTGGTAGACAGCAACCGCCCCGGGAGGTACTACCGTCCTGCCATGTAAGTGTAAAACGAAAGCCTGCAATTGTTTTACATGATGGTAGGATTGCTGGTGTCCTTTTTCTGTTTCATAAACATGCAAGATTTCAGGTACGTCTTGCTACTTCTACTTACACTTAGGTCACACTACACATACATGTACAAGCATATATATACACACCCCTCTGGGTTTTCTTCTATTTTCTTTCTAGTTCTTATTCTTGTTTATTTCCTCTTATCTCCATGGGGAAGTGGAACAGAATTCTTCCTCCGTAAGCCATGTGTGTTGTAAGAGGCGACTAAAATGCTGGGAGCAAGGGGCTAGTAACCCCTTCTCCCGTATAGATTACTAAATTTAAAAATAGAAACTTTCGTTTTTCTTTTTGGGCCACCCTGCCTTGGTGGGATATGGCCGGTTTGTTGAAAAAAAAAGAATCATCATTTTTCTGTTATTGGTTGGGGTTCTATATTTTACAGATTTTTTTTTTTTTTTTTTTTTAAGAAAATTCCTCACATAGAAACACACACACACTGAGGAAATACTCATTTTTAAAACAATCATAATTCTTAAGCTAGGAAGTGATCACCGTTTACTTGCATCATTGTGGTTTGTGCTACAGTGACTTAGTCTCTTAAGAACAGTTCAAGTATGAAGAGCCCATCATTTTACTGGAATGGAGAGATTATTTACTAATGCACAAAAATTACATTATTTTATGACCCAAACTTCTTTAGTATTCTTCCATTAATAACATTTTTTTTTCTTATGAGACATACAAATTAGTTCCAGTAGTTTTACATTTCAACTAATAACAATTTAGATTTTGATATACAGTAGGGCCCACTTATACGGCAGGTTATTTTCCAGGGTACCACCGTAAAGTGGAAATTGCCGTAAAGTGGAATGCCCTTTTTCCACTTATACATAAACTTACGCATATACAGTAAATGCCAGATAACAAGTTTACACTAATATATATTAAGATAGCAACAGAACTAGGCATTAAAAAAAAAATAAAAAAGTAAAATACACATATAGTACATTCATTACTTACCTATAAAATATTTGTAGGTTTAACCCTTTCAGGGTCGGCAGGCCCTCTCCCAAACCTGTTCTCAGGGTCGGAAAATATTCCAAAAAAAGAAAAAAAAAATTTTATCTTAGAAAAGATAGTTTTTTTTTTTCTAAATTTTATAGGCTAAAAAAATTTTTTTTGCCATCAATACTTACTGAGATATGGAGGCATAAAGTTGACAGAAAGTGAACAGCATACAGCAAGATCGCTGACTGCCGGTCACCCGGTAATCGTTTATTTTGTTCCTTTATACTTTTTTTCTATTATTTTTTATATTTTTTTTTTCAAGTAACTTTTATGGCCTGTGAGGCCAACATGAGCACTATTTTGTAAGTTTTTTCTCTTTCTATATTACACAATAACTGCACAAACACTGTCACTATATTGCTTACAAAACTTGTTTACACAAATGAACAATATAAAATGTTTATTACTATTTTTCTATATTTTCTATACACATATACAGTCACAGGACATGTTTCTAGAAGTTCTGCAGCCTGTGGAAGTCCTTGAAACATGGTGTCATGCACAGTGGTGTTTTATACTCCTCACACATAAAACAAGCATCTCTGCATTGTTGTGGATGTTTTTTTGTATGTGCACAGATGTAACACGTCTTCTGAGCCTTTTTCTTGAAAGCAGTAGCAGGCAGTTTTGTAAGGAAGTGATCACCATGCTTCAGATGAGAAGGCAGTTGTTGATAATTTCGTGGGCGGTTTTCTATTGCAGGTGTTGTTCCTTGGTACTTGATTATTATTTGTCTGATGACAGATAAACAAAATTCACCATATGGTGGTTTGTTTCTGGTCCTCATCTTATACACATTATAAGCATTGAGCGTGGAAATGTCCAGAATATGGAACACAATCAGCAAACCCAATCTGCATGTCACATTTGTCCACTGAATGCATATTGAGGGTGTAGTCAATCACAGCTGCAGGTTTTAGAATGGGTTCATTGCTCTCTCTATGCTGCCTGCCAGTGTCTGCCATTTCGTTAGGGTGAACTGAAGACAACAGTGTGACATCTCGTTTGTCATGCCACCGAAATGCCATGATGTCATTTGCAGCAAATGCCTGCACCTCACCTCTACGAGTGCCAGCGTCGAACCTGGGCATATGTTTACAATTTGCACACACTGTGCCACACACATCTGTCATGTTCACTCGCAAGAAATCACTGAGTAAGGGGCTTGTGTACCAGTTATCAGTATATAATATATATGCCCCTTACCAAGATATGGTTCCATCATTGTTCTAACCACATCACCAGAAATACCCAGTAACTTCCTGGTATCTCGCAATGTATTACTTCCAGTGTACACAATTATATCCAATACAAGACCACTGTAGTAATAATAAAGCACAAACAACTTTATACCAAAGCGTTTCCTCTTGCTTGGTATGTACTGCTTGAATGAGAGTCTTCCTTTGAACAGAATCAAAGACTCATCAATAACAAGCTTCCTGAAGGGATAAAAATACATACTACTGAATTTTTGTTTCAGATACACAAACACATTCCTATTCTTATATAACCTTTCATTTCTGTCAGGCCTGGTTTTGTCTGAGAAGTGAAGCATACATAATAGTAGCACAAATCGATTCACTCCTATTATATCACTGAAACCTGGGGTTGCAATCAGGCAGTTCTGTCGACCAGTATGATTTGACACTGTACTTATACACATGTGGCATAAGCATTATATTTTATTTTATTTTATTATCACACTGAACCCCTTCATAAATGTTACTTTGCTCACACTCCAACAGCACGTCAAGTATTAAAAACCATTTGTCTCCATTCACTCCTATCAAACACGCTCACGCATACCTGCCGGAAGTCCAAGCCCTCGCACACAAAACCTCCTTTACCCCCTCCCTCCAACCTTTCCTAGGCCGACCCCTACCCCACCTTCCTTCCACTACAGACTGATACACTCTTGAAGTCACTCTGTTTCGCTCCATTCTCTCTACATGTCCGAACCACCTCAACAACCCTTCCTCAGCCCTCTGGACAATCCCGCACCTCCTCCTAACTTCCAAACTATGAGTTCTCTGCATTATATTCACACCACACATTGCCCTCAGACGTGACATCTCCACTGCCTCCAGCCTTCTCCTCGCTGCAACATTCATCACCCATGCTTCACACCCATATAAGAGCGTTGGTAAAACTATACTCTCATACATTACCCTCTTTGCCTCCAAGGACAAAGTTCTTTGTCTCCACAGACTCCTAAGTGCACCACTCACCCTTTTCCCCTCATCAATTCTATGATTCACCTCATCTTTCATAGACCCATCCGCTGACACGTCCACTCCCAAATATCTGAATACATTCACCTCCTCCATACTTTCTCCCTCCAATCTGATATCCTATCTTTCATCACCTAAGCATTATAGTGGCAAACAAAAGATACATCTCAACCACAGTTGTCCCCTTCCACTGGTGTACCTGTGAGTTTGGTGAAAGTATTGTGTTTGCCATGGTGTAATCGAAGTATCTGTTGCTTTCCCTGACAATTTCCATCAGGGGTTCGTCAAAGAATAACTCGAAACATTCCAGTTCAGTGGCATTGTTCCCAAGTGTACAAGATGGCCGTATTCCACTTTGACTTTCATCAAAGTGATGGGCACTGGGAACAAAATTGGCAGCATCCTGCCAATCCCAATGTGTGGTCTGCTGGTGGGTACTGGATATTGACAGGTGGGTGTGGCTGTGGAGGCTGGTGTGGTGGGTGGGTGGGTGGGGGATGGTGGCCTCTGTTGTAGTTCAGCTGAGGCAGCAGTGTGGGTGGCAGCATGGCCCACTGCTGGTGCCTCATGGCTGACACCACCACTACCACCAACAGATGCATGCACATTTTC